GTAGTCAATAAATATTATCGGTAATATCATATATTATTGGTATAGTATGCAAAAATATAGATTTTTGAAAACTTTTATCGTACCAACCAATTTTTTAATTAACTATAAGATTAATATATATATATATATATATATATATATATTTGTTAGATCTGACTTGCATTTGAAGATTCGATCAAAGAAGACAATCTCAGAAAAAGTTAAATGTTGAAGACCATCAGAGTTCTTGATAGACAAGTCAAAACTCTAGCTGTGAAGGATAAGAGATCTAGTTAAACTTCTCTTAAGTCTGACTCAGTAATTTAGGTTCAAGAGTATAATGAAGAACCAGAAGAAGTTCTTATGCAAGTCAGATCTTTGATTATATAAGTTGAGAAGACTTTGCCAAATCAGAAAAAGAGAAGATACTAGACCATGTGGCAAACTATCATTGGTTCAGAGCTTAACTGTTTTAACTGTCATGTGTATATAGGATATCTTCTTTATTTGTAATAGATCATTATCATTGGAGTACTAATAGAAGATTACTCTAACAAATTCTCGATTTGAAATTTTAACAAAATTTCTCTTTCCTATATAGAAATTATTTCTCTATCAATATATGTTGTAGTGCTTGTGGCAAATGAACGACATATATTGATCTTTACTTGTGTTCTTGATTACTTTACTTATGATTTTTCTATTAATTCTGCATTTTATTCATTAGCTTATAGTTGAATTAGACAATCTCTGATCAACTAAACTTCCGTATATGTGTGTGTGTGTATGTGTATATATATATATAGGGATAGGTTCTTTTATTAACCCAATTTATGGTATTAACTTTGTAAACCTATCACAATCATTCATCTTATGAATCAATGGATGAAAGTTATGATGACAATTTTAATAACCAATAATATAATACATTATCATCTACGATGACCATAATGAACAAGTGTATTATTGAAAAAAAAAAATCATAAAATTGGTAACTACCCATTAATGACATTAATGGTCATATGAACATTAATCTATAGTCATTATAAAAAAGATCTCCATCATTATGAGCATTAATATACACATAAGCATCTCCCCCTATATGAACATGGGTTCACTTATGTGTTATGTGATTATGTTCATTAATATTTGAACAATGTTCACATATGTAAATAACATTTCACTTGGCTATTCCATCTTTTTGTATATTAACAGACAATGAACATTGTACATTTATGGAAATATGTTCACTGGTGATTTCGTGATATTTTCCTCCATATTGTTCGTATCTTCCAAAACGACATCAACAATACGCTTCAAAAATGTTTACATGTGATTCGTTCACTTGGATTAACAATTTACCCATTGGGTATATTAATATTAACATTTTCAAAAATGTTTACATGTGATTTGTTCACTCAGATTAACATTTTCATCAAGATTAATTTTAATTATTGATAATACATTGTGTAATTTGAATAAATAATCATAATCCCAACAATCAAGCAACTATTAAACTGTAAAAACACATTAATTAATACAAAATGTAACTTACAGGTTATGAATACAATCTTATGAATGCCTTACGGTTATGAACATATTCTTATGAACACCTATGAACACATTCTTATGAATACCTTATTGTTATGAACGCATTCTTATGAACAACTATGAATATCATTAAATACCACAGAAATAACTTACACATAAAAAATTGTAACATCTAATTAAATACCATAAAGTAACTTACACATAAAAATTATCTATTCCCCCTTCATCATTAAATCAAACATTTGAAGTAATCTCTACTAAAGATTGAATCTTATTGGTCCAATAAATTCACAAAGTTAACACAATATTATTGGTTAACAAAAGATCTTACCTTTATATATATATATATATATATGTGTATATATATATATATATATATAGAGAGAGAGAGAGAGAGAGAGAGAGGTGATCTTTTGTTAACTAATACGTTGGTGTTAACTCTACAAACTACTTTAGACCAATAAGAAACCAATTTTAAACAAGGTTGTTTCAAAGGATGTAGGTATTGATTGAGGGTAACTAGGTAATCTTTCATTTTATCCTTCTTTTGTGACTTAAAATTACCGTTACAATATAGACATGATTCCATGTTTTAAGACATTTTGATTATATTAGTTTTTTTTTAATTTCTTAGTGATCAAGACCATGGAATAATAAAGATGGATGATCCACATGAACATAGTTGAAGACAATATTCATGAACGTGCACTCAATGTTCATTAGTGAACATCGTTCACATTGACAACTTGTTCATCGGTGAACATTGTTCACCAGTCACATATATCTACACATTCAAGTATGTGTCCACTAATGAACATGTTCATATATGCCATATTTTCATTGGTGAACCCTATTCATAAGATATTGATTCCATATATGACAAATGTTATGTATTGAACACTGTTCATATATGATAAATGTTCATTAGTTCACACATTCATAAGGTACACATTCCATATATTACACACCAATCATAAGTTACACATTCGATATATTACACACCAGATAAAAATGATTATCATCAAATCACTGAGAGAGAAGATCAACATTCTCCCCATATTTGATGATGACAAAGAAACATAAAAAAATTGCTTTGGTATTACATTAAGGAAAAGGTACTAGTAAAATACTTTAATTATAAATTTTCCCTTTTAATTGTTTGGGATCTTTTTTAGTGATAGAGTTTAATATAGAAATTTACTTTAATTATAAAGATTACAAGGAAGGAATAAACTTACATAATATTAATAACTAAATACTGAGAGCATATTCACTGACTAGAAAGGTCTCAGCGAATGTAAGAAATAAATAGTTTTATAAGTACATATCCCATTTACTCTTTTTAGGGATCTTTTTCAGTGAACCAATCATTTTATTGAAATATCTTACAAGAGAAAATATTACAATTAATTACAATTGGTATAAAAGATATGTACTGAAAGAAAATATAATGAAATACAAGATTTTACAAGACTGAAAGGTTTGTCTAATCTAGATTGTCGAAGTTGATGTAGTCAGGGACATCTTCTCCTTAAATCTTTCTTCTGAGCATTTCCTTTTGAATCTTGCGGTCCATCATCTCTCTATATAGATATTCGTTCAGCCAAGTTCGAAGATATTCCAAATGAATTATAGGGTAGAGATGGAACTCAGATGCTCGTCGAAACGTGTATTAACCATCATAGTCCATATTCAGGTTTCACATGCAATGTGTTGGAAATATAGAGTCCCTTCTCAGGCAGTGACAGATTCAGCATTGAGATATCTGGCTTCTTGCTATCCTTGAATAGCTCATCCATTGAGAATTTTGTTTCATGCTCATTCCTATGGGATGCACCTTCTTCCGGATCAGATGGGTTTCTTTTTAGATAGGACTTTTGTGGCAGAGGAGGAACCTCGCCGATCTCCGACACCTCGTTGAATAGTTTGTTATGAACTTCTTTTATGTAAACCTTGTGCTTGGATTTGGACTTCAGAATCACCTGTTCAATCTAGAGCCGCTCATAGAAACCATACTTACCTAGAAAGGAGGAATACTTAGTCACATCATCGTTGTTCTCTCGGAAGATGACCATTGAAACTAGAAGAGCACCATCTTTAATTCTACCATTGATAGTGATGTTTGAGATCTTGTGAGGGCTCATTCTTGTTTTGATCCTTTCTCTGCTCCAATAGAGGTCATGATCCTTCAGCTTCAGTACCCGTTTTCTTTTTCATTCAGCTTCTGTTAAAAGTTGGACTTGAGCACTAAGAGGATCTTTCTTCTTGAATTTCCCTTCAGCAAGAGATTGAATAGATATAGTCTTTGCTAACTCCAGGCTGTCTTTAAGTTGTTTCTGATGTTGCTTCAACTCTTATTCAGCTTTAAGGGATTCTTTATGTTCAACTTTAGAGTGGAAGTCGAACTCACCACATTCAGAGGTACGGAGAGGAATTTTTACTCTGGATTGGTCAAGATGAATTATAAGCTAAGACAACCTTAGGTCTTCTTCAACCTCATAACATACAAGTTTTCTAGATGATTTTCTGGGTATGAGGTTGCAGGCTTCGTCTTTATCTTTATCATCCTCAAGGGTTTCAAAAAATGGGAGATGGGTTGAGAGGCAGAGAGTTGGTGTTCCAGAGATAGAGAGAGGTAACTATGAGGTGAAAGGTACAAACTTGAAAGAAGCGTCTGTGTCCTCAAATTGGATGAATGCCCCAAGAATTGGGGGCAAGGTTTTCTTCAGCGACTCCTTTTCTTTTTCCAGAGAAGTGCTAGTGCGATGATCTCTCTCCCCTGGGAAGCAGGGTCCCTGAAGGAGATTCCTTTGGCAGGATATCTTGGAATGACCTGAATAGAGAAATCATCATCATCGTCGTCGTCATCATCATCACTACCAAGGTCAGCACCTACGTCTGGGATTTGAGGCTCAGAGTCCTCATCATCATCGTCTTCATTACCATCATTTGGAAATGTTGAGGTGGAAGGATGAAGGTCTTCATGGTCAGCAACAATAACCACGACATCATCATCATCATCATTGATGGCTTCAAGGATATTGTCCTTGGCATCCTCAGTAACMGTATTCTTCTCCATAAGGTCCTCGTTATACTTATTTGGATCCTTCCCCCCTCTTTGTCATCATCCATATTATTTGTTGAGAGAGGGAGGCAAGAAATAAGGTCTTGCAGCTTTAGCTCGATGGAGGTAATTGCTTCATTTTGATGAAGGTTGAATTTTATAACCATGTCCAGCTGTTGATGATCAGCTTCTCTGATGGCGGGTTCAGGGATAGGTGTTGGTTGTTGAAGAAGTTAGAAAATCCATTCAAGTAGCTTAACATGCCAGGTAAGCTGGAACTGAACATCTTCAGCCTTGTTGGGGAGTGCAGCAACAGCTTCAGAGTTTTGTTGAATTTTCATCTTCATTGAGTTCAACGCTTCTTTGACTTCACGCACCTCAGTTTGGACAGCAGAGAGGCCGTGAGTCAGGTCATCCTTTGAGGGCATTCTCGGTGCACTTCATCTATCTTGTAGAGGACGGTTGCAATGATAGGGAGCAGCAGCTTGACATCCCCAACCATGTCATAGGCATCAGTCTCGATGAATGGGGGTTCATTCTCCATTGGACATGTAGAAATAGGAGAGCACTGAGCACAAAAAATCTCAGGGTTAGTAACCAAGAAATAAAGGGAGGGGTTTGGTGTATACTTGACAGTTCCTCAGCAGTATTTGTAGGATTATCGTTGAATATTTCAAATACGTTGTCTTGAGGATCAACAACATGTATCTGAGGGGATTTGAGAGGAGCATCCTCAGGTCCTGTGGTGATGGCTTCACCAATAGTGGGGGCAACCACTATGGGATCATCAGCACGTGTAATAGAGATCAAAGAAGGAGGGGAGGAGAGAATTGTTGAAAAAAGATGTGAAGGTTCAGTAGTGGATATGCTGGGAATCAGACATTCAGTAATTTGAGTCACTGAAGTGGTTGGGTTAGGAGCCACACATACGAAAACAACTGAATATATTGTTGAAGAGGATGGGAGGGTAACAACAGATTCCTTGGGGATAAGGCGAAGTTCAATAGTTGAGACCTGTTGAAAGGTCTCAGCTAGATTAGATGGCTTCCCCTTTATGGCTTTCTTAACCCTCTTTGAGGGATTAAGAGTGACTTCAGATTGTGTCCTTTTTTGAGAGGATAAGAAGGTAGTAGTTGAGATAGACTGAGGAGGGTTTACCACAGTTGTAGCTACTGAAGAAGGAGAAGAAGAAGAGGAAGAAGAAGAAGAGGAAGAAGAAGAGGAAGAAGAAGAAGAGGAAGAAGAAGAAGAAGAGGAAGAAGAGGAGGAAGAAGAGGAAGAAGAGGAAGCAGAGGAAGAAGAAGAGGAAGAAGAAGAAGAAGAAGAAGAGGAAGAAAAAGAAGAGGAACAAGAAGAAGAGGAACAAGAAAAAGAAGAGGAAGAAGAAGAAGAAGAAGAGTAAGAAGAAGAAGAAGAAGAAAGAAGACGAAGAAGAAGAGGAGCATTGGATATCCTCAACATTGAAGGGAATAGACCAAGAGGAAGAAGAGGAAGGAAGAAGGAAGAAGGAAGAAGAAGAGGANATTGGATATCCTCAACATTGAAGGGAATAGACCAAGAGGAAGAAGAGGAAGGAAGAAGGAAGAAGGAAGAAGAAGAGGAGCATTGGATATCCTCATCATTGAAGGGAATAAACTAATGTCTGAAGGCTTGGTTTTGTGATCAAGAATCCTTGATCCAAGAAGACAAATGGGAAGGTCACTCTGAGTAGGGTCCTTTGTTGATAGGATTCTGGCTAGAATCCCACTCAGAAACTTGGTATATGGAACCACTTTTTCTCGTTGACGCTTGTTCAGCTTCAGTACCAGATCGGCAAATATAAGCTGAGCGAAGTTGACGTTGATGTCTCTGATAACTGAGCATCCAATGTTCTGCACCACCCAGCTTGCTTGACCTTGGCCACCTGTCTTCCCACCCATGCACTGAATGAAATGAGAAAACATGTATTGCCAGATCGTTGACATCTGATTCTTCTCTATTTTGGTCAGCGACTTGTTAAATTCAGAATCAGAGTCCTTCTTTATAGGCCAGTCGTAGTGAATATCGTCCAGAAACTTGACGATATGATCACTATCTGGATCTCGGGTTTAGGGACGGACTTTGGGAGTCTGAGAGGAGTTCGAACAATTAAGAAGCCGAAATTCACCGTCATTTGGTTGATATCACAGAAGATCTTGACGACTGGGTTCCTGTCCTTGTCTTTCAGGGTCCTTGCTTCAATAGAGTAGCAGAACTGTCTGAGGATATCCTTCCCCATTACAGGTTGGAAGGTAAGAGTATATATCAAGAACTGCTATCCTAGAACGCAGTTCTTGAGGAACTTAGCATCCACAAACTAGGTTTGTCTGCAGGGATTTTAGTAGTGCAACGTGATTGTTGGGTTTGAAGGAGCAGTCTTCAAGGGCAAAGTTCACGTTCATAGCAGCAGCCATTTTTGTAAAAAAAGAACGAAAAACTGGAATCGTATACAAGATTTAAGTTAGAAAGCACTTTAGGAACAAAGTTTGAAGGATAAACTTTCTTTTGAAAACCCAGAAGAAATTAGGATTTTCAAGAAGACTTTAGAAACTTGGTTAAAAAAATCAAGAAGAAGAATGATCTACAAAACCGATTGTTTTTATTTAAAAGGAAGAAAGAAGGTTTTAAATATGAAACAAGTTTCTTGAAGATTAAGAGCCAAAACAAAGAATAACAAACCTGTTTTAGAGTAGAAGAAAGAAAAACTGGTTTGAATACTTTTGGGAGTTTTTGCTTTCACACAATTTAGAGAGAGAGTTCAGTATATTGAAATGTTTGCATAGGGGGAAAATAAGAGGGTAAGAGAGGTATATATAGGTGAGATGAGAGAGAAAAATGAAAGAGGAAAATGATGGTTTGAAAATATGTGTAATGATGAATTTCTTTGCACGTCATTTAAGGTGATTGGGTAGAAAGAGTAACGGAAAAACATGTGTCAGAAGTAGGGATGGTAATGGGGCGGGGATGGGGCGGGGACCCCAATACCCATCCCCGTCCCCGATCCCCGTATGTGTCCCCGTCCCCGTCCCCGTCCCCGCCGGGGATTATGATCACATCCCCATCCCCGTCCCCAACGGGGAACGGGGATCCCCAACGGGGAAACGGGGATTTTTTTTAAAAACCAAAAATTATAAAACATCACTATTTATTGAAATACACTAATATTAAAATAAGACTTAAACAAGACCAAAAAGTTTAAACTAATAACAAAGTTAACGTCAAACATACTAAAACTACATCGAGTAATATCCGAAAGAACCAAAACATATCAAGTAAATTTCCATACTATCTACCAT